GGAGCTGGCTGATAATTAAACAAAAGCAAAGTAGCATTGGCATGAAACTTGACCTTTCCAGAGCTTGAGGGGGGAAGGGGAATTTTGCATCATTCCTGATGGTGGTGATTTTTATGCATTATGCTTGTTTGGTGGGGATCTCCGTGCCAGAGGAGTGGGGAGACCCTGTGCTCCCATGATGGGCTGGGATGTGGGCAATAAGGTCCAGGCTGACCCTTCCCACAGCACATTGGTCCTTTTCTACCCCACAGATGGAGGGAAGCACCCTCCAGCCAGTGTCAAAACAGGGATAACAGACAGGGTCCTCTTGGCTGGAGGGATCTCAGTGCTGGAGGGATGCCAGTGCCTAGGGTGTGCTAGCTCCATCCCCATCCCTGCATGGGAGGGAGGTGGTGACTCTGTTCCCAAGCCACCTGTGTCGCAGCTCAGGGAGCTGATCCCCAATTTTTGGCACCCTCTGCTTTATAAAGAGCCCTGCAACACCGAGGTGCCCAAACTGCTCTGCTTGGTCCCGGCTGTGCGGGGACTCTCCCCTGTGCCCAGCATGTCCCTGTCCCCGTCTCCCAGCCTGGAGCTGCCACCTCCTCTGCCTGGAGGCACATTAATCTTCAACTAGGTACCCAGGATTATTACTGTGATGGTTCCTATGCCGTGTCCTGCCCAACATGGTGTTAATCATTAACACCCCACGTTCAATGTCAGCTCCTGCCTGCTGCCTTTTGAACAGCCCTTCCTCAGCTGCCTCTGATATCCTGATAAACAACCAGGGCGTGGAGCTGCCCAGAAAGCGCCCTGGGGGCTGGATCAGCACCCAGAATGGTTTGTCTCTGGGGCAGGGAGGAGGAAGAGGAAAAAGGGAATCAGGAGGGAAGGCTGTGCTGGGGAAAGTGTGCATTGCCTCATTTCTTCCCCCAGACCAGCCCGTGCCCTTCGAGGATATCCACTCCTCCCCAACCTGGGAACGTCCTGTCCAGGCTGCGTGACGGATGGGGGAAAATCCCTAGCAAAAGGCACTCCCTGGGCAGGTGATACTGGATGAGTTTGCTTTTGCTTCCCATCCACTCCCTTTTTCACCACAAACTGAGGTTCCTCCTCCCACTTGTGACAGGCTTGTTCCCCACCAAAGCTAATTCTCAGGAGTGAAGGAGCAGCTCATTTCCTAAAGTGCCAAGCGCTGCCCGCTCCCTTTTTCAGCACACAACCCTGTGCCACACAGCTTTTTTGCCCATTGTGCAAAGGTGATGCCGGTGGTGAAGACACACCCTACAAATCCCATGGGGCTGCCAGGGGTGAGGGGCAGCTCTTCAGGTATCTGCCTTCCCCATATGGCCAGGGGGCTCCAGCCCCTCATTTTCCCCACCCTGTGCCCACGGGGATGCCAAACACACCACTCAGCAGGAGGTTGCCGGGGGCTGGATCCACCCTACCCAGCCCAGGCACCAGCCCCTTCCCTACTGCCTGCAAGGGAGCAGCTCAGCCTTGAGCCATCCCACTCCCCATGGAGGGGGAAATTCCCTGTGTGGGCTCCAAAAGTGGCCATTTCCCACAAGGAGAAGGTCCAAGGCTGATGTGGGGTGGAGGGAGGAATCAGGGGGGTCCCCATCACGTGGGGGCTTGTGGGGCCACAGCAGATGGGACGAGGCTGGAGATGCCACACTGGGGCTCCGGGTGGGCACCACTGTTTCCCTGTACAGAGCAAACCCCAGGGCACAGGGACCAAATGCTGCCCCTTTGCTGAGCCTGGCCCTGAGGGTGACCCCATCTCTGCTGCCCAGCATCCTCTCACACAACCAGTTCTCTCCTCATCATCCTCATCATCTCCCCAGCTGGGAGAGAGGAAAACCCAACCCAGGAGAAAAGCAAAGTCTGCCCCAGGGCTCAGCCACCCTTCCCTTCCCTCCTGCCAGCTCTGCCTGTCCTGGAGGGTTTCTGCCCATGCCAGCGGCAGCCAGCCAGGCTGGTCAGCACTCACCAGCATCCTCTCACACAACCAGTTCTCTCCTCATCATCCTCATCATCTCCCCAGCTGGGAGAGAGGAAAACCCAACCCAGGAGAAAAGCAAAGTCTGCCCCAGGGCTCAGCCACCCTTCCCTTCCCTCCTGCCAGCTCTGCCTGTCCTGGAGGGTTTCTGCCCATGCCAGCGGCAGCCAGCCAGGCTGGTCAGCACTCACGCAGGGGTGATTGCCCAGGGTGAGCAGGGCATAGCCCACAGCCAGGGACCACTGAAGGGTGCATGGCCCAAGACAGCAGTGACCCGGGCTGGGGCAGTCTCTGCCGGGAAGACTTAATCCTCCTGCTCCTTACCCCCAACCCTGTGTCATGCGTAGAGAAGAGAAGCCCACACCCCAGCACACACCCCGGCAGCTGCTCCGGCACCTCAAGCCCAAGGTCGCCTTCCCAGCAGCAATCAGGAAGTTTCTGTTTGCTGCCACGTGCCCTCGGGACCTTTTGGCCTCACGCTCCCATGGCACAACTGACAGCTTTTGGGGTGCTACC